CTTTGAGATGATATTGGTTTGGGGGTTTTGTCAGGGCTTTTTGAATGATTATCAAAATCCCAAGTCAAATAATTTTACAGATTTAAAAAACCCAGATAGTTTTTCTTCAGAGACATAATCCAAAATATGACCTGCTGTTAAATGCAAGCATCAATCACCAGAAGCCACGTTGGAATCAGAATAAAAATGCACTGTTCTCCAGCCACTAATTTACATTTACTCAAACAGGCACTGACCAAGTTAAACAAGCAATAAAAGTGGTGTTTTGGGGGTACTGACTGATAGATAAGTTCCTGATTTGTGAAGGCTTTTGAGCCCTCGTAGGGCTCAGGGCAGCATTTAAGCAGTTTTGTTTCTTTTTTCTTCATTTTAAATGAAACCTCTTCTTCTCCCTCTGGCTGTCGTATCTATTGATGTAACTGGTGTTGCATGAGAAATTACCTCATTTCAGTGACCTGAGACAGCTTTTCTAAAAGCTGCAGTAAGGTTTCCTCATTTGTTTAATGAACCTGGATAGGCAGAAAATTAAGTATCAAGAGCTGCAGAGGAAGAAAACTAAACCAGAATTGGTATTGGGTGGCTTAAAAAAATATATCTGTATTAATATAGCCAGTACTTGTAATTGGTATTTAGATTATGGCATGATTATTGCTTTGCAGACAGGGGACTCTGTTATCACTCAGTCATCAATGAAGTAGCTGCATTCTGTGCTCATCTCATCTCTGAAGCTGAAAGAAGAGCTAGTTATTATCTTCAAGTGAGTTATTAATGAGGGGAAAAATCATCCCCAATTACTGTGAAGCAAAATATTTCAACATTTGCACATCTCAGACTTTAATTTTGATCTAATCCTTTGTGAGTTCTTAAGCTCAGACAGTATTCACTTTCCCAAACATTCTCACACTGGCATATTGAGAGGAACTTACACCTGTCCAGGTGCTGGCTTCCCTAAGGGTATGCTCCAGGGTCACAGAAGTGCTGCCCATCCCATCCTTGTGCTGCTAGAGACTGATATCCTCTGAGATTCCTTCATGCTACCCCATAGGAACAGAGCCTCCACTGTCAGCTGTGCCAGAGGAAAAATCCTGAGTTGTCTTTACTGTCTGTGTTCCCAGACAGTTTTTGTTTTGTTTTTTTTCTTAACTAGAAACAGCCTGGAATTTATTTGTAAGGGCTAATTTTGTTCTTTTGCTTTCCTTTGAATCCTTTTGAAATTATTGGTTTGTAAGTTTTGACTCTGAATGTCCTAGAATAAAATCTGGGCAACACAAAGGTGATGATTTAAATTCATATAAACATGTGGGCGGTAACCAGGAGAAGGGAGAAGTGCTGTCCACACTGTGAATCCATCTATCAACACAGATGTGAAGGTCTGACCTTGGCAGATTCAGGGGGTAGGGATGTCAAACACAGTTTGCAGTCAGCTGGAAATGTAGCTACTAGACAAAGAAAACTCAGTAATTACCCAGCTGTTTCAGTAGATTACAGATTTCCTAGAAAACAATAAAACAACCATCTGTGAATGGAAAAAAAAAGCAAACTATTTTTTTAAATTCAAAAACATTTCTGAAAGTCATCAGATATCTCCCCTGTAAACTTCTTATCTCTATTCAAAAGTGACACAGTCTGTAACCAATTGGTGTAGATTTCTCTACAGCATTTATGCCCATTAATGCTTTATTGATTTACAGTGAAACTGCTGAAGGACTGTCTTGAATAGACATATAAATATTAATTTCTAGTGAAGGATGGCTGCTATTACACTAAATATTAAATGAATTCATAATACTTGGACATTTGCAATAAATCACTGCTGGGACTGCATACTAACATCCCATTCCCTTTTTTTTTTAAATATTAAAGCCATGGAAAAGAGCTGGTTGCTCCCAAAGAAATGTAGAGCTTTGTAACACTAGAATCATGAACAAATTCCCACAGCACAAGGAGGAGTTTCAACTTAGTTCCTTTTTACAGACAGAGAGAGGCATGTCATGGTTTAGGTTGAACTGCTGATCGCAGAAGATTCAAATCCAATCTCTTTCCCATGGGTGACATCACAGTAAATTATCAGTCCCTGACAGTGCTCCTTTTGCTTGAAATGCTGTGAGCAGCATCAGCAGAGGGTGTGGCCATGTGACACCAGAAGGCTGAGAGCCAGACTCAAAGGGAGAAGGAGCTGGACATGCTGTCTAATCTCCACACACACAAAGGGGTTGGTATCAGGGCACCTCTGAGTACCTTGCCCAAGGACACTGCTTGAAGGATGGTGCTACTCAGGTTTTGACTAGGCTTGGCAATTGAATTAAGTCATCTTCTCTCTTCCAAGACCACAAATCTTCGTTTCAAAAGTTCAGTAAAACGCTCAGCGGGGGCTAAAAATCAATTTTTTATTTTTCCTTTTGTTCTACTTTTATTAAAGTAGAACAAAGGATAGATCAGCAAGTTCATTATAGCTTTCTGTTTTCTAAGGGATAGTAGCTTAAGAGTAGAAGTTTTTGCCAGGGCTAACCCTGTGGAGTGGAAGCCATTCTTGAAAACAGAACTGAATGACTGTCAGACTTATCTGCTTTTCAATGTGTAGATGGGTGTGAGTATATGCACCTCCTTCATTCCAAATATTTCTGCTTCTTTTTGCCTTAAATGGTCTAAGTTGCACAAGGTTTTTCTAATGAAAATTTGCCAAGGTATTTAAATTAGAAGCAAAAATGAGAAAAGCTGCTACCACATAGGAATATTAATTGTTTGTTATACAGGGCTTTAATTCACATAGTTACTTTGCATTTGCAAGACTGCCAATTAAAGAGGCTCAGAGTGCTCACTGCTGCACAATAGCCGTTTCTCCAGAGCCCCACAATGCCTATTGTGTTTTGTCACTGACCTTTGGGCACCTTCAAATGCATATTGACACAGGATGCTGGGATCATTAGAGATATTGTTTCAGTGTGCCACAGGGACAGAAGAGTTTTGCAATTTCATGAAGAGCTTTAAAATTTTATATAATGGTGACAGCAACAATATTTCTTAATTAGACAGTGAGAGAAAAACTGGAGCATTTTTCTGGTGTTTCAGGTGAATTCCAGAATGCACTTCCCATACAGTCCCTTCCCATCAGGAAAAGAAGATATTTATCAGGGGCATTTGGTCTGCTTTTCTATTGTTTCCAGGAGAATTGATTTAATTTTTTTGACCTGGTGGTGCCATATGGTCAGCCTCCCTTAGCTTCCATGGATTCTGCCTGGGTGAACATCTTGACAGGATGGATCCTTTCATCCTGTAAGTGCAAAACACTCTTTTAAAACATGACCAGCGGTATGCAGGAGACCAGGATCCGGATGCACAGATCACCCTAGGACAGCAGTTCAGACTCTGCTCTTCAAAAATCAGTGGACTTTGGCTCTGTGACAACAACTGTCTTCATTTTATGTCTTCTGTGTCTTGGCATCTAAGGTATTTCTGTTTTCTTACCAGTCTATGACTCCAGTTAAGGAGGGCTGACAAGAACTTTGGAAGCAGAGATACCAGACATTCCAAGTACATTTACTGTAGTAAATCCTAGCATCTTTTAAAATCTTATATTTAGTTTATTGTAGCCTTTCTATTCTTTAAAGCTGCTTTGAGAAATTACTTCAGCAGTCAGAACATAAAAGAGCATAATTTTAAACCTTGCATGGGACATTTTGTCTACAGAGAATAAATAAATTACTGGCTTGTATTTCCAACAAGTGTTCCTACTTGAATATATAGAGAGAGTTTCTGTTCAATGAGTCTTGCTGTTTCTGAGTTTGATTTTATCCCCTGGGATCCTATTATTGAACAAATTATCAAGTACAGCTAAACTTCACAGCCCTGAGACTCTGAAGATTGTTTGGGTAATGGCTTACACTTCTGACAAAAGAGGAAGAAATCTAATAGACCTTTGCAAAGCTTCTTGTATCATTTTTAAAAAATGGAAAGATTTACTGCACAGCACTGCTGGCTTGCAACTCTAACCTAACATTGTGGAGCATGTACCAGAGGATGGCCAATTTGTACATATAAACCTCTAGCCAAAAAACTTTCAAGATGAAGGACATAGTGTTTGCTATTTGTGTGTGCTTGAGGTAAATGTGCTGCAGGATTTCTTACACTGTTGTGAAATCAAAAAGGTCAAGGTGTTTCCTGAGGAACACAGGCTAAATTTTTTTCTTCCCATTAATTGAAAGGGTGCTATTATCATCTTTTCATTTCTCTGTCAGAAACCCTTGTAGAACTTTGAAACCTCCCATGCACTGCCACTGCAATTGCCAATTGTGAATTTTGTGGTCTGTCTTCAAACATCAAGGTGATACCTTTACCTTAACACATGAGGGGCAGTGACTCCCTTCTGGGAGGGAGACAGGAATAGTTATTGCTGTGTGATGCAGGATGTGAAGGGTAACATGTTCTGGAAAGAGTTCTTAAACTAGATTGTCATGCCTCCGTTCTCCCTACTGTAAATCTGCATCAGGTGTAAAAGAGGAAGTAATGATGAATGCTTCTCTTGCACTGGGCTGGGATCTGAAATCTCTCCTCAGCCCATGGTGCTTCCCAGCACAGGTTTTTAGCCATGGGTCCTGATTTCCTACTTGTGGGATGTATCTCTACTGAGGGACAGGATTCTCCTTGAAGAGAGAGGGCAGCACTCTGCTTGCTGTCTTCTCTGCATGGGAAGTTTGTATCTTTGCTGTACTAGTGTAGCTGCACTCTTTGTTTGAAAAGGCACATGATCACCACCTGGATAGATTTGGAAATGGGGCTAATCTTTGCAGTATGTTTGGTCTTTACTGAATTAGTTGAAGCCCTTTTCAGTGGGGTGGGATTTTCATAGGATCTTTATTATAGAAAGTTCAAGTTCTACCTGGATCCACCTCTGTGGCAGTTTTGAGAGATTTCCTGCCTTACACATTGAGGTTTTCTAAAATGAAAACAAAGGGACTGGGTATGTTTGCTCACTGCCCATGTTTTGTTTGGTTCCTTTGCAGAAGGAGAAGAAGAGCGGGCTGTTGAAACTTCTAGCAGGAGCATCCACAAAAAAGAAGTCCCGCTCCCCACCATCCGTGTCCCCCACTCACGACCCCCAGACAGCCATTGAAGGAGTTCTGCAAGGGGCAGTGGGGCCTGAGCTCTCCTCCCTCTCCAGTCACGGCAGAGCTGGCTCATGCCCCATCGAGAGTGAGATGCAAGGAGCCATGGGGCTGGAGCCTCTGCACAGGAAAACAGGCTCCTTGGATTTGAATTTTTCCATCCCTTCACCTGCCAGGCCTCCCCTCTCTTCCATGGCAGCTATTCGGCCAGAGCCCAAGCCTTTGCCCCGGGAAAGGTAAGTTGTGTTTCTCCTGAGGTTGCCTGTATCCACAGGGAGCAACTGGAGGAGAGATGAAAGAGTTGTTGCAGTTTTGGTGTTCCATGGATCGACTGTACATGGCTCAGCTGTCTTTTAGGAAGACAGGGCTTCCATGCTGCCCATTGAAAATCACTTGGTACACCATGCAGGTTTAAAGTGTTGAAGAGCACCTGTTCATGACACTCCACAGCTCTGGTCTAAATGTGGAGGGCAGCAGTGCTTTCTCAGCCCAAGTGGTGTAAATACTGTTGGCAAATGCCACATTTAAAGTGGGATTCCAGTATTTTAACTAAAGGAATAAGTTAAAGGCATTGGCATATTATGTCCCATCTGGACATGTCCTGTTCTGCAATACCAAAGACTGTTTCAAATTCTTCTTGTTTAGAATATATACAGATACAGCTATCTTCAGTGACCTGTTACCAAAAATGTAGCTTGTTTCTAGAGAGGGATGAACCAGTGATTCTGGAGTTCATTTCAGCAGCCTCCTTTCCACCTTGGTATACCTCAGATTAACTGACTTCACAAACCTGAAAAAAGAATAAGAATATCAAAATACAAAAGCTGGTGAAGAGAGAGATAACTGACCAGAAAAGAGCTGGGGGTTGCAGAAAAGAGATAGATTTCCATGTGCAGAGTCACACTGGCTTCAGGTAAATGTTTTCTACAAGACTGCAGCTTGAGGACTGGGAAGTGAATAAATAATACACAGATACAGTGCTGTTGAAATGCTTTCCACTCAGAAGGTGATTGAGAAAAACATACTTTTACAAAAGCATTGAGGAATTTTTAAAAAGCTGTTCAGGGAACACTCTTGAATTGGTATTTAAAACAATTTTGAAATAACATTAAAATCACAGAACTTGGAAAGAAACTAGCTTTGTGTGTATGAAAGAGGCTGAAGGGAATGGATTGGGCAAGGCACCTGACCCTAAATCCAGTTGGGATCATGAAGCAGATGATGTGTAATAAGGAACATTACAGGACTGTCCATATACAGTGTTTTACTCAATGCAGGTTGGAATTCAGTTGGGAAGGTGACAGTGTCACCATAACAAACTTTTTTAAGGCATCTGGCTTGTTACCATAAAACCCCTTGCTGAGTAAACTGTACATAACCAACCCAGCAGATACTAAGTGGATTGGAAATTGATTTACTGGCATCAAATATAACTCTACATAAGAAATCACTAGAAAATGGTTATTAATATATGTAGTGCAGCCCAACAGGAGTGGGGTCCTGAACCTGGACTGTCAACATAAAACCTTTCCTGTTGCAGGATGAGGATTGAAGTGGGACATGTGTAATGGGTAGGGCAGATCTGTTGGTACAGAGCTAATTCAGCTCCTGGTCAGGTGAAAACAGAGTAACAGTGTATTTCAGAAGAGGATGCAAAGTGAAGTGGACTCTGACAAGCATCATAAGAAAAATGGAAGATTTAGAGCTATGTACTTGCAATGAGGGTCACAGGGAGCTCTGGCACACCTGGTAAGGAGTGTAGGAATGGCATGGTAACAGTCTGTAAGAGACTGCAGGCAGGACAGGCATGGGAATATTTTTACACTAGATTTGGCATTTTTTCTATAAGAGATGCTTTTGTTCAGGTGCAGCTGTTAGACTTGAAGCAGAAATAAATACAGGCAAGTCCTTCAGCATTGTAATGAAGGCAGTGAGAAGAGACTCTCGCAGTAGTCTCTTGCCCTTAAAATCCATGAAAAAGTAATTTAGTAAAAGGAGTGAAAAACCAATCCCTATTTAGGCACACTTAATTCGGTCTACATCAGTTCAGATTAATGCTATAAGAAAAGTTAAATCAATATAAACCAGATTTAGCACCAGTGTAACTGAATCAGTGGGCTGCTGCACCTTTAGTTAAATGTAACCATGAAGAGAAGCTGGGGAGTACAGCCCCTGACATCTCCAGAGATGGATGGTAATGTGCTGCTCTCAAAGCTTTCCTATAGAGAACTCCAGACACATTATGTAATATGCCAGGGCTAGTCCCATACCCTACAAATTTCTCAGTCCACCTCAGGTGGTCCAGGTAGGAAACATTTAACTGATGACCATTTTTAACTGTCAGAATAAAACCAGAGAGACAAAGGTTACCTGGATCCTCTTAGTTGTGTTGGAATCAGGAGCAAATAGATTTAGAGTGCTAAAACAGAGTAAATACTTCCAGCTGCAGTATATGGTGATAAGGAACTTCCTCTCATTTTACGTATTTTGATTCCTGAGTCTTAAATCTGAAAATAAGCTATAATTGAAGTAACCATAATTATACACAGCAGGCAAGATTCTTTAATTGATTTATGAATTAACTTCCATATCATTGGTGTATCTGCATTCCTTAACTGATCATATGGGTTTTTTCATGTCCATAATGGGAAATATTAATTACCTTCATGCACTAGGAAGGATAATGCTTAGTCCTGGAATAATCTGAGCAGATACATTAAACACTTGTCTGCTAGAAATTCATCCCACATCCATCTGTGCTCATTAAATCATCAAATTTCTCAGAAGTACCAAATTATATTTTTTTTTAAACAAATTACGGTTTTCAAACCTCTTGTTCTTTTCACATCTGGCAGTGGAGCAACTTGCATTCAACGTCACTCAGCTCCGTATTTTGCTTGTTTGCATTTTGGTGCATTTCATAGGCACAGTAGGAGCAATTCTCTGCAAAAGAAAAGGGAGGAGAGGGAAAAAAAGGTTAGATAAACAGATTCAGATGCTGGAAGAAATTTTAAAAAGCTGCAAAGCATTTCAGTACACTTAGCTGTACTTGGCTTTCTGTCTCCCAACGCCCATCTGCGCACACAGAAACAGAGCACTGAAAGGTTGGAAGAAGTAGCACATTCCTTAATATTTACAGCATTCAAAGAGGGGCTCGTGCAGGCAGCACAGCACCGCTGCTTTTCCTATAGAGGTTGGCTTGCAGCTCCAGCCCTCGCCACATCCAGGTTACCAATCAAACCCAGTGCACCAAGGGGTGCATTAAAGGGCTCTGACTGCCTGCAGCTCACTCACTATTTAAGGGATGAATTGCCTGTTTTGCTGCCTGACAGTGCAGACCTGTCTGGGAGTTGCAGACAGGTAGACAGAAAGGTGAAGCAAGCGTCACCCTCTTGCAGGTGCTGTTAATGTTTATACTCTTACTCTTTTTTGGTGGTTTGCTTTTTTTTTTTTTTTTTTTTTTTTTTTTTACATAGAGAGGAAAGCAATTATCTTCTTTTTCTTGATATTCTGAAGCCTGGCTATGGATGACTGGACTGGGAAGGAAATTGGTCCTAGCTCTCCTGTCATTTAGCCTTCATATTTGTCTAGTTTGCTAGGATAGTGAGAGCCCATCTCTGCCTTCTGGGTGTAGTTTCCACTTCCAGTTTATAAAACCACATTCCTTGAGATGCTCTCTGCCATAAAGCATCCAGCAATCCAGGCAGCAGAGCAGAGAAATTTCCCAGGTGGTGTCCTTGTCACTTCATGTGGCAGTGATTGACTGCCAAGTGAATACCCCATCAGGCTGTGTGTGCCCCACACACTCTTTCCCACCTACAGCTCCATCCAATTTCTGCTGGTATGAGAAACAGGACCAGTATAGGGACACACTGATGAAGCAGGCACTGTGCCAGAGCCTTGCCCACATCCCACCACGCTGTTGGCTCACAGGAGGGATGTGCTGTGTGCCTTGCAGCACCAAAACAAAATACTTCCCTTGCCACCCCCTTCAAGAAAATGTGACTGTACATGAAGCAAAACAGGAGAGTTGAGTGTGCATGTGTGTGTGTGTGAGTCATGTTCCCCTCGCTGCCTGGCACTGTTCCCAGAGGCGAACCTGAGTAAAACATGTCACGCGTTGTTGACTCTTTTATAGTAGCTGGCACTAACTCTGCCACGTTACATTGTGATAAAGCAGCTGTGGCCAGACTTATTGTCACGACTGGCATGTCTGCACTGCGTTTCTATGGTTTTCATGCAGTCTTCAACCAAGTTATAACCACAACAGTGCTGCAGAATAACATGGGAGTAGTAAGTTTAACCTTTAAAATAGATCCTTCCTTGTTTCCATGTATCTTTCTACAAATCACTGCCACATTAGAAATTGAGCTCCCAATTCAAGGAAGCATTCAAGCATGTGCTTAACGCCCATTGACTTCAATTTTGCTGTGCTCATATGTCTTCTTTGCCAAAAAGGAAAGCAAAAGAAGAGTTCTTTTCATTCCTGGAAAGTGATACTGGAGAAATGACCCAAGGAGTAATTTCTGACTGAACAGTGACATGTATTCACATGGTTAAGTTCTCTGAGTAGGGATAACTGCCTTAGGACTGGAAACTAACCATCAACCATCTCAGAAATTGAATCCTAAGATATTTCCAGCAGAAAGGTAAAAGACCCAACTGAGATTTGTTCTTCTAATGGTACTGATTCAGTCACCACACTATGGAGAAGCAGATTTTGTCTTGTAGTGTGCAGAGTTGCCTTGCAGGTCCCTTCAATTTGCCAGTGAAAGGATGAAAAAACAGAGCTCCACTGGTAGACAAGAGCAATGGTTAACTGAGCTAGATGGTCCACTGGCACTGATTATCCATTGCCTCCACATTAGGGATGTGTATCCGTAATGCATAAGAGACCTGGACTGGACTCATGAAACCTGTTCTTAGTGCATGATACTTTGAGAAACAGGAACTTGTATTAAGCATCAAAATTCAAGCACTCTAGATGGGATCAGGTTGGAGGTTAGCCCTGCAGACCTAATTTGCCTCATTGCACATTTTCCTAAGTTGCTCTAGTTCCATCAGTGTCCCGGATACACATATTTACTCAGTGAGTATTTTGGGGGTTTTTAGAGTGTCCATGGCTGAGTTCAGCTATTAATTACTGATCAGTTCTGATCAATACTGTTCAGTGCCTGCCTGCACAGTGACAGAGGGCCTGTGTGAGTCATTGAGAGCAGACAGGACTCCCACGCAGGCATTGTGCATGAGATGAGTCTCTGTGGAAAGTGTGGCACGAGGCTTTGCAGCTGAAGGAGTCAGAGAAGCCACTTTCCCCACATCTGCACTACTCAGTGCATTTCAGCATGGTCACTTGCTGATGATATTCCAACCTCTGCAAAAGGTGGAGTGCCTCCCATATCAGAGCCTTGACTCACATCCAGAGCAGCGTCTTGTGCACTAAATGAAGCATCCTATGGGGAAAATAGTATGCAGTCATATAATGAAAGATTATATTGCAAGACAGCAGAAGTAAAGTCATGAACAATTTTATTTGCCTTTTTCTCCATCTCAGATGCATGGGTGTGAAACACTTGTGTTCTTGTAAGGTTGTAGATTTCTTTTATGTATCTACACACGATATTTTTAATCATTTTGCTTCTTTAAAAGAAACAAAACCAGAACTTCCATCAGGTGACATCTGTTTGAGGTTAGGAGTCTTATTTGCACCTTCCAGATTTCAGTAGGAGTAGCAAAGGGAGGACTGGGTGGGAGAGGTGTTTCTTTTGGCTGTGAAAAGAAGTGCTATGAAGACAGGGGACAGGGGGATTGCAAGGTCTTTGCCAACAGCAGAGGATGGACCTATTCCCAGCTCAGTGAGATAATTGCTGCCAGGGCCCATCCCACCCCCAGCCCGAGTGCCAGCCTCTACTGATGCAGTCTGCTTCTTGGGATGCCATGTCCCTGCCCAGGCTCCCTCCCACCAAGGCTTTTTGCTCTCCCAGACTCAGCTCAGCAGAGCTTCTCCCCTCAGCAGCCATACCCACACCTTCTGTCAGGGCTTCCAGTTTTCATCACAGTCACGTTTCTTCCTCTGCTCCCGGTTTTTCTGCCATCAGCCTCCCTCTTCCTCCACCTTGTCCCTTACTTTGCCCCACTCTCCAGCTCCCTGGGGTTTCCCTGCCCAGGAAAAACCCATCCCCTGTCCTTGCTGATACTACTTGAAGCTTCTCTTGTATTATCTCTTGTGCACCAAGAATCCTTCCCAGGCCACTGCCCATCCTGGACAGGAGTCCCCAGGGATGAAGTGCCCAATCCAAGGATGCCCCAGCAGCCACCAGTGAGGATGTCCAATATCAAGTCTGTCCCCTGAGAGAAAAATACAAGAGGGGCCCCGTACTAAGAAAGAAAGAGAAATACAACCTTTGAGGTCCCACAGAGTTAGCACCGCTTGGAGCATAAATCAGCAGAGATTTTACTTTCAGTGTTCATACAAGCCTAAACATGTGCCATTTTGGGGTGATTTGAGTGTTTTTGAACCTGGCTGTGAGTGGATGACTTTCTGAAGGAACACCATCCCTGACAGACCAGTGGAACCACGGGACAGGTCTTTGCTCCCAAATACAGGACCTGAGAGCAGTTTGTGGAGGGTCCTGCTGGTGCTGCATAACTCCTCATGTTATTCTTGGAAATGATGAGGCCATTGGGCTGTATGTTGGACCCTCAGCCTGATACAGCCAATTGCTGCTGAGAATTTGGGCCAAAATGATTAACATTTGACAGAATTTTAACTATATAAGACATATTTACACCATTTACAACAGAAAATATTGTTAATGTTGGTCAGAGGTGGTTGCCACACTTGTCATCATAATTGTTGCCCAGCTAATTAGCATTTTTGAAAGTTGGTAATTTAGAGGGGGAATGTGACACAGACAAAATTGAGAAGACTGAGATCCATCTAAAATGCCAAGCAACAGTTTTTGATATAGGAAAACCTACAATTTTATAGCATCTTCTCGAAAAGGGACAAAAGGGGAAATTAAAAGTGGAGATATAAATAGAAGTATCCCGGACTGCCTTTTTGGGAGTGAGGGAGGATGTCTGGGAGAGGAGACCTTTCCTGCCAAAAAAATACGGCTCATAGCTGTCCTTGGGATTCCGTTCCAGAGGATAAGCGAGGCTGAGGTGCCACCTGGAGGTGTGGAGGGGCGGCACAGCTCCCCGTGCCAGCGCAGCGCCGCCAGGGATGCTGCCCTGCAGCCCCGCCGGGCTGCCTCTGCCAGGCTCCGCTTAAACCTCTCCAGAAAAGGCATCGCTTCTTTTTCCATCTCTCTCTTATCTGATTGCAAGGTCTTTCACAGCTAGTGTTTTGTTATTCTATCAAAAACCTCTTTGGTACTATCTTGTGAGGTACTGTAGTTAATTAAATTTAAGCCATAGCATTTAGGGTTTCCTGAATGGGGGAAAGTGCCTCGTTTTGTAACGCAGTGAACTGCGATTTATTCTCTAAATTGCTAAAATGCTGTGTAGGACCCCTTTTATGTCAGTGGGTGCATTCCTGTTGAGTGTGGTCACCTGCTTCCTCATGTGAACCATTTAGGGACTAGCAGCTCATCACTCTGAGGACGTAGTTTTGCTTGAAAAGGATTTCTCTGTGCTTTTGGTATAACATGAGGTGCTGGCACTCCCAGCTGGGTCTTCAGCATGACCCTGCCCAAGACACCAGCTTTTTCTGAGTTTCTGCTTCCTGACTTGCCAGAACTGTCTGTGAGTATCTCCACAGGACTCAACTAACGCTGAGGTCCAACCTTTTTTATTTCTCAAGACCTCTTGAGTTCCTGATGCAGAGCTCCGAAATGTGTGATTGTGCGTAAGAGTAGTGAGATCTGAAACTTGGCATCATCTTAGCTGAAATTGTTCCTCTCTGATAATTTAATTAATCAACACTGCAGCAGAGTGTTTGAAATAATGTGTGCATTCATTTGCATAATGAGTGTAATTGGCAAAGCTTCATATTATAAGTGTAGCAGTTCCACAGATGATAGACCACTTGATAGACCACTTTCCTGCACACGTTTCAACCCCTGTTATTTGCTTTTCCACAGAGGAAGGAAGTGACAACTAGATTTATTAACCAAGGTACAGAGAGGATCAGCAAATTTTTGATGGCACTTGAACACAAATATTTTCCACGACTGTGTTGCTGTCAAGATAAAAAGGCCATAGTCAGTTATTAGAGCAGAACCCCTGCTCCAAATGGAGTTTAATGCTTTTCCAAGTAATGGGTTGTTTGGTTGTGGAGATGTCCAGACATAGAGTCAAAGCTGATATTTCCAGTGTCATGCCAAAGTGGAGTGCCTAGTTTCAGAGCTGAAGTCACTAGGTACCCGAGCAAAATCTGCTAAGAAAATGGGTGACTGCCACTGGAGAGCCCCTTGCTTTAGTACTGTCCCAGTGGGGACGGCCTCGATGGTCCACAGCCTCCAGGGCATGTTAAAGTCCCCAGGGACAGGATATTGTCTTAAATAAGTACTCACTTTGTTACAAACAGGCATTGGCGGCCAGGCAGCAGTTGTGAATATATTAATTCTCAGGAAATGGACTTTAGGTAATAATCAATTGGCAACTTTTAACTGTCTTACTATATTCATTACTTTGCAATTAGCAAGACAGTTATTGACTGTTAACCAAATGCCAGATAACTGCAGAAGTGCTGAAGGAAAAAAAACAACCATGCAGTAGAAATATATTCCCTGCTCTGCACACAAGTGCATTGATATAAAGTGGCCCAGTCTGTGCTCTCAGAAGGATGCCTGCTGATAAGCTCTGAGTGAAGAATAGCTATATCAGGCTCAGTCACATCATTACTTCATTGAAATGAAGTGACACTTGACAACTAAGTTCCCAGAGAGCCCTGGGAATGGTTCAGGACTGGGGCTCCCCGTTGGTTTGGAGAGTGCTTTGAAAGTCACTTGATACCTCTCCACCTTAGCTTCCCTTCCAGGTTTGAGGGACTCCAAGTGCATTCTCAAGACACATTATAAGAAGAAAAATGTGAACTGCTTTAGCTAACATCTGCTGGTGTCACATGCAGTGGGAGCATTGCAAACCCCATTTTTCATCATCAGGGGAGAAGGGAAGAGAGTGTATCACATATCTGGACTTCTGTAAGGTCTTTGAGATGGTCCCTCATATGTCTCTTTAAATTGGAGAAGGATGGATTTCATGGGTAGACTGTTAAGTGTATCAGTAAATTGTTAGACAGCCACATCCAGAGGGTAGTGATTAGTGACTCAATGTTCTAGTGGACATTGGTGACGAGTGGTGTCCCTCAGGGGTCCACACTGGAACCAGTGCTGCTCAATATCTTCATCAATAACATAGATGGTGGGATTGAGGGCACCTCAGGAGGTTTGCAGATGACACCAGACTGATTTATGCAGTTGACACATGGGCTCTGAGCAACCTGCTTGAGTTGAAAATGTCCCTGCCTCTGGCAGAGGGGTTGAAGTAGATGACCTTTAAAGTCCCTTCCAGCCCATACTGTTCTATTATTCTGTGATGCTAGGATTTTTGGAGGGAGCAAATGCAGAGCTGAATAAGACATGTTACAGTGGAGATGCAGCACTAGGATAAAGCAGCCAAGTCCTGGCACAGGCTCAGCACACAGCTGGGAGCAGAGATACCATGAGTGGTCCATCCATTTGACACACATTTCTGCTTTCATGGGATGGCTCCAGAGTCATCCTGGTCCAGCAAAGCTGGCCAGAAATTTACATCTTACTCAGTTTTAGTGGAAAATATAGTAGCTGTATTGCATACAACTAGTGTGTGAAAATGTAACTTACTGATATTTCCTGAAGTTTTTTTCCCAAGATCTCTGGTACTGGTGCCCAGCTGCTCCCATCAATTAACCAGGTGTTTGCACGTTTTTCTCTCCGAAGGTACCGCGTTGTGGTCCCGTACCCGCCGCAGAGCGAGGCGGAGATCGAACTGAAGGAAGGTGACATTGTGTTTGTGCACAAGAAGCGGGAGGACGGCTGGTACAAAGGGACCTTGCAGAGGAATGGCAGGACGGGCCTCTTCCCCGGGAGCTTTGTCGAGAGCTTCTGAGGACAAACCGCCGCTCTCTCAACTGAGGAGCTTTCAGGGGAAACTGCATAGCACAAGAAGAGACAGCAAAGAGAAACTGGACTGATAACCACTGCCATTTTTATTTCCAAAGACTTCCCCCAGGCCCTTCAGTCTGCAGCTCTGGAGACAGTGTCCCGCTGTGCTCCCGAGACCATGTGCGGTGCATACAGTGGTATGTTGAAGTAGTGCCTTCCACCTGGAATCACAGACTGAAAGGACGCCCATCTGGACTGTAGTAACCTAAACTCTGGCTGTTAACCTTTTGTGTAAATTATAGAGAAGATATCTTTAAAAAAAATTAAGAGGAAAGCTGTTATATTGCTGTAACTTATTTGTCAGAGCTGCAGTGTTCTTATTACTGGCCTATGCAAGATGGATCTGAGAGTTCAAGGAGGTGTGCTAGGAAGCTCTTAAACTGGGATTTTGTTTTTACCAAGGGAAGAAGAGGGGAGGGTGGAGAAAACCCCAGCTAAAGATCAGTGCATCATTGTGCAAGTAAGAATGAGGAGTTGAAAATGTTAATGTCATGCTTTCTATATACCTCAAAGATATGCTGCGCAGGTTTGTTGGTGCGTGTCGGCGTTCAGAGTGCCACACCACCCCGTGTCCTGGCACTGCTGCCAGGGAGGTCCTGGAGGAAGCACGGCTCCACCATTAAACTGTGGTTATTTGAACAGAATCCCTTTTGCCTGTCTTCTGCCCGTATTATATGCAGCATGGATTTTTGTCCTCGGTATCACTTTCCATTGCTTTTTTGTACGACGTACCTTTTTACTGTAAGAATTGCTCTACTTTATATATATTCCTACTAGATCAGACATTTCCCCTTTTTCATACATCTGGTGCTATTTTTTTTAATTGTTAAAGATTTGGTTAAACAGAGAGGCTGCAACAAGATTTGCATTCAACATATGAAATTAGAACCGTACCTGAAGATTGAGATCAGACTGCTTGTTCTTGCATCATAGAGGAAAAGAGAAAAAGCTGCATGGTCACCGATAAATACACCTGGGGGGCTGCCTGTGGAACACACACATGCTCGCTCTCTCCTCCATATTTAGAGTGGCTGAAGACCCATGCTGAAGCACAGCGTTCTGTCTGGAGAGCGATAATGACTCCAGAATTGGAAGTAATTCCCAGAGGAGTCATTTTAATTGACTTTTTCATGGCAATAAGAAGAACACTGCAGGTTCTAGCACACGCAGGGACCGTGGAGTTTTCCTCTGTCGTTGCATGACGGAGACAAGAGCTGGTCTGCGACAGCAGTCAATAGTGTTATGGAAATGTGATTTCTTACTGTAGAAATGTACAGTTCTGGAGACTGTTGGATTTCTTAATGTCGTCAAGCTACAATTCAAACTGTATCAGGCAATATAAGCTTCCATCTACCAGGGACTTAAAGGTGCAATAAATGTGAGTTTAGCCAGTAATTTGTATGAAAAAGAATGAGAAAAAAAAATCATAATGCAATTGTTGAGAGTATTTAAAAAGACATCGGTTCTTGAGGAGTGAATCGTGTTGAAAGGCCTTTCATAGCTGTATCCATACCTTGCCTCTGACAGCAGCTGGCTGTTTGCCAAAGCCCACGTGTGGTGGGTGTTTAGAAGTGTGTCAGAGGCACTGTAACCTGGAGATGATCTTATTAAAACAAAGAGGCCTGGTGGGTGAACATCATCACTGCATTACCAGTATTTCATGTGCAAAGGTGTAAGTTTTGTTTTCATTCAAGCCGTGTGTACTAGTACATATCAAAACCCATGTAAGTGAGCATTCATGTTTAAGTTCAGCTCTGTGACTTTGTTCTCTGTAAAATAAGTTCTTCTTGCTGTCACATGTTAACAAACCAATTCCAGAAACACAGTTCATGGCCAAGTATAGCACCTTCAAACCAGGAGGCATCACTTTCAGGGTGTTTCTTTTTATACTTGATGTTGCCGCATTTGTTGATATTCCAGATTGTAATGAGTCAGTCACTAAAAATTTAGTTACTCTTAAGAGGAAATTGCCTTTTTATAACCAATAAGAGACTGAAGAAACGTCTTCTGGAAAGACTTGTTCAAGATTAGAGCCATATCTGTTCCACTTATTTGGTCCAGGTCAGAACTGGTGTCACTGCACCTCAAACAGTAAACTGCACAGTTAGGCAGTCAGCAATGCCAAAATGTGTTATTGATTCCAATGAAAATTCTGGGTTAGATCTGTCAGAGATGAGATTTTTTTCTGACAACTTAGAGTGGTTAAAACACTCTTGAAATTCTGTTCCATGGTGTATTTACTACAGTCAGAAAAACAAAACAGGATGACAACTTGCATGCTGCCTATTCTGTTTAGCCAGATCTAAAATGATTCCAGATTTCTACCGTTTTATGCTTAACTCTAAGAGGACAAAAGTTGGAGTGTGAGAGGATCAAGGAAAACACGCAGATCATTAAATCATTAAATCAGTGCTTTAAAATACATTTTGCAAGAAGGATTATGATTTTTTGAATGGTCGACAACCCTTCCAGTCATATTTTTTTTCTAGGAAAAATATGGGGGGAAGGGGGAGGAGGTGTTCTATTTTGATAGCAGCTGTTTCTGGCCCCTCTTTATTGCTTATCACAGTTTGGGTTACTGAGTAATCTTCTTGGACAAATCACTTCCATGCCAGGAGCACAAGTATTAAGGTGAACTTAATACAGCCCAGTGATACAAAAACATGACCCAGTGCCATTCAGAAAGTCCTGGACTGAGAGAGGTTTGACTCATACTGTGGTCTAGTTTTTACCTGTCATGCCAGGAAAAGAGGGAGGAGAGGGCATCTCCATCTCCTGCAACAGGGCGGGGAAAAGATTCCTTCTGGTGGCCTCAGTTTGTAAAATGCCAGGTTTGTTCTTCTAGAAATGGGTTCAAGTAATTGAACAGTTCCTTTGAACTTTGCACAGCTCAGAAAATGTTTTTGTTATACATGAATGTTAACGTGGTTTAGGAAATGTTGGCAGATATGAGTACAAATGAACTACAATGACTGTGTTTCTGATTCTTTAAATAAAATAAGTATTAAGGCAATTTGACTGAGGTTTCTCTCTCTATTGACAGCAAGGTGAGCAAGCAGTGTAACTGGCTCAGAGGTTTGCAAAGAAAATAGGGAAGACTGGTCTCCAAACCCTGTAGTAATTCCCACATAAATAAAAACCTGTTAGGGGTAAGAAATGCCTGAACAGGAATGGTTCTTCTTTTAACACAACTGGGATTTCTTTAAAATCTTGAGAAGTTAACAACGTACCTGTGGAGAAGAGGTGTGTAGGTCCAGAGAAAGAGAGTGGGTACAGGCCAGGAAGAGGCAGCAAGGTGGCAAGGGTAAGGCTGTGGCAGAGAGGCTAGGAGGGGATGTGGAAGCAGAAAACTGGCAAGGAAAAGAGCAGCCTCTAGTAGTGTTAATGGGTTTCAGGGGCACCTGGTGGCTTGAGCAGATTTGTAGGCAGAGGAAAACCCCTTTCCTCATGCCCTGGTAGGTTTGGGCATGGTATTATCCGGGTCCATGTGTCCTCTAGGCAGTGTCCAGCCAAGGAACTGCAAGAGAGGGAAGGAGCAGGTTGCACCCTGGGCAACTGAATGCCCCCTGACTCAGGTGAGAGGGGTGAGGCCTGAGATTGCCATTCAGCAGCACAGTGCAGAACATCTGAAGGGAGAACATGAGTCAGTAAGTGGGTCTGGATGTGTTTGCCTTGATTTGGCTGACAGACACCACTGGAAAAGTCACCCACACACGGGTGGTGATTCTTTGCAGTTAGGGAGCACATAGGGCAGGGATGAGTGAGGCACAGCTAACTCACCAGGTCATCTGCATGGGAGGTGACACAAGTCTCTTTTTGCCCCAGCTGGATCCTGAGTCAAAATTCTGAAATGTGGGAACCACTCAAATTTAAATGTGGGCAGGCAGCACTTCTCCCTGTGCTAAGCCTTGCTGGCTGGCTGACAAGCAGCATGGTGCAAAACGCTGCACAGAGGAGCCTGCCAGCTACTTCTGAGCTGGTCTGGCGTGCCAGCCCCCTCCACACTCTGCCAGTCCTGTTCCTCTGGCATCTCTCTGTGCCCTGCTGCCAGCACATACCACGCACCTCACACAGCCGTCCTACTGCGTGTCACCCTGTGCTTCTGCTCCAGTGCCTGATAGAAATTTAGGGCATGTTTTGAAAGAAAAATAATCATTGTGAAATTGTTACACGGTTTGACTGTTTCTAAATGCTTGTGGAGAGCAGAACCACCTGGACAACATCTGCAGGGCTTTCCTGCAGCCAAAAGCTCTTCCTGACATCAGCAGCTCCTTATACATGGTGAACCTGGCAGCTACATGGCTCGCTTAGTTGGTGCCAAACCAAATAAATGAGCTGTACTGGAAGGAAAGCCAAGAGGTGCTGCAGTCTGGAGAAGGCCCTGTCCTCACGCCCCAGCCTTTCATGTAGCAAAAATAACTTTCCAAATGGTCACAGATGTATTTCCAATCACTGGGGCATGGGTGTCTGTCCTCCCTTCAGAAAACCACTTGATTTTTCTCAGCCACCAAGCAGCACCACCTGCCCCATGCTGCCACAAAGGGGCCACAAGCCAGAACATCGAAGAGCTTGTACCAAGGTGGTCCCCTTGCAGCCCATGCCTGACAGCCTGTGTGAGTACAGTACATCTCCACTGCAGGTGAGCCCACCTCTACTTGGGTCTCTGCTTCCTATGGAGACCCCTGCAGCCCCAGGGAAAGACAGCCAGCAGCCTGCTGACTTGGCCAGGGAGTCACAAAAGCTGTTTCCAACACAAACGGCACTTTTGCACCAGCCAAGATGCAATGCAGTGCTTTTGCAAAGGCAACAGGAATAGTCCTGCACACAGGACTCTGAGCTGTGTGACCTCCTGTGTGACACACACATGTGTGTGTGCAGAAAAGCCCATGAGCAAAGAGTGCTGCCAGGGAGAGGAGCTGTACCAGAGCTACCTGCCCACCCCTCTCAGAAAGGGCACTGGAAAGGACAGGACTGGCTTAGTTAAGGGTGAACATCCTTGGGGGAAATGCCTGGCCTGGGGAAACCTTGAGCTGGTCAATGCCATTGGTGCTGCCCTCCAGCAAACGACAGGGGGGAGCCATGGGAAGCTGCCTTCGGTGGAGGGGTTGGAATCCTCATGGGGAACACAGGAGTGATGGGGCACAGTTAAGTAAGGGGGCAGAGGGAAAATGAAGTCATTAAGACAGGGGGGAAGGCAGAAGTGTCTCTAACTTACTGTCAGAGAAGGAAAGCACATTACATTTGTGCTCTGCTTCTGCACA